CCGCGCCCGGAGGAGGCGGGCCCGTGGAGCCCCCCGCCCAGCCGCCCGGCGGAGACCCGAGCGGGACCCCGCCGCCCCGGTGAGTCTGCGCCGCCACGCCCCGGAGAGACTGCGGGCTCCCCAGGGAGGGAACAAGGGCTGCCGGGGTCTGTCTGTGCGTCCGTCCGGGAGCTTTCAGCCCCGGGTCTGGCGCCCGAAGAACTTGGTCCCCGCACCCGCCCGGGCAGCGCCCTTCCAGCGCGGGGCACCCCGCCCCCCGGGCTCCGTGCAGGGGCCTCGGCCGGGGAAGGCGGCGGCCTCCGGGGCGCCTCGGGCGGGGCAGGTGCCATCCGCCGGCGGGTTCTGAACCCTTGGCCTGGAGGACAAAGAGGCGCCTTCCCCTGGTGCAGAATTTGGGGAATTTCCCTGTAGGCCCCCGAACCCACCCCGGGGCTGCCCGCAAGGTCCCCCTCCCCCCATCACTTACTCCTTTCTAGAAATCGAGGCTTTTTAGGGATTTAGATTCGAGGGTGTGGATGTGCGTGTTACGTATTAGAAGCAACAGGGCGAGGAATCGGGGCGTGAGCAAGGTGGGGTGACTGAGTTTCTCCCTGTGAACCGCTGTAACAGGCTATGCTACCCCGCGGGGGGAGGGGGCGCTGGTGCCTAGCACACAGCAGGTACTGGGACCCACATCCACCTACAGTCTGCGCAAGGGGGGGGGGTATATGCCGAGTCTGACTAAGAGGGATGGTCGCTTTCAGAAAGAAATCTTTCCTAACAAGGGGCTGGGGCACAGGAAGCCTGGGCGTCCGTATGTTCCCCAGCCCCGCCCGGGCACTCCCTGCCCCAGTCAGCCTTGGGGCGCCCGTGCAGGGCACAGAAGAGCCTGCGTGACCTGGGCCAGGTCCTTCCCTAGCAGCTGGGGGGTGGGGGGGGGCGCTAGTGAAAGGCCGGCTCTGGGGCCCAGAACCACTTTGACACTTTGGAGACTTGTCACGGAAGATCCCAACCCAAGTTGATGGGGCCGCATGGCATTGGGAGGGAGCCCCTTCCCCTCCAGATGCCTCTCCCTACAGCTTGCTAGAGGTGCAGGCGGGAGAGCGAGGAAGGGGAGGAGGCTGGCGGTGCATCTGTTCCTCACCACGTCCTGAGCTGACAGTGGTTCCATCATTAGGGTTTCCTGGGCTTGTGGCAGGGCCCGCCCTGCCCCTAGGGAGACAGGGCCCAGCCTGGTGAGCAGTCAATGACGAGGGTCCCAGAGAGGTGGCGATCTAGTCAGGCCCCACCCCTCCCAGGAGCTTCTCTGTGACCCAGTGATAGTCACGTTGCCTCTCTGAGCCTTGGTTTCTTCACCTGTAAAAGGGGATGAAAAGCAGGACGGCTCACCCATGCCTCGCACACAGCCACTCCTGTAGGAAGTTCGGTCACAGGGCTTAGGGGAGAACAGAGGAAAGACAGTAACCCGGGCGGGGGCCTGACCAGAGGTCCTGCTACAAGAGGAATGTTCGAACATTAAACAGTGAATTAGAGTCACTCAGGGTGACAGAGAGGAAGGGTGTCTGGGCAGATGGAACAGCATCTGCAAAGGCATGGAGGTCGTGTGTGCTGGGCGTGGGTGCTCAGATAGGGAGGGAGGGGAAAGTAGAGGGAGTGCAGGGCCCGGAGTGAGCTGGACTGGGTGGGCGAGGGTGGTCACACAGGTGACATCTGGGAACCACTCAGCAGGTGTGCCTCTGCCCACCAGGCAGCGTGCTCGGCGCTCTGCGGACACTGAACAAGGAAGACACAAATCCCCTTCGCGTCCTTTAAGCTGGGGAGTCGTTTGATCCTCTTGCTACGTTAGGAGGACAATTCCGGCTACTGTGGGATGCAAGTTTGGAGAAGGCTGCTGGGGAGAGCAGGCTGGCCTGCAGGTTGGGGGCAGAGGGCGTGAAAAAGGGGGTGTGGATTGAAGCCCCGCCCAGGAGGCAGAGAGGAACATGTGGTCTTAACATGTGACCGCTGGTCAAGGGTCAGATTTGTGGATTGGGTGTGAGGCTGGTGCTGCCAGCCCAGCTTCTACCAGAGAGGTGGCGAGGGCCTGGCACCTTGGCAGGGCCCTGTCCCCTCCAGCTGTGTCTTTCTGGCTCTGGCTCCCAGAGTCCCAAGGTCCGGGAGTCTGTGTGTGCGTGAGGAAAGGCAGGGCCAGCAGCCTGCCTCCTGTCGGCACTCGCGCTGGGCAGCCTGATCCACCAGGGGCTCCTGTTTTACTGGGTTGAGGATCTGGTAAATGTTCTCCCCTCCCTCCGTGGGGTGACAATAACCCCCTAAAACCCTCAGGCTGGAAGAGACTGGAATGCGAGGGCCTCTGGCTCTGGGCTTCTCTTCCCCCAGCACCAAGTTACATGGAATTCGAAGGACTGAAAAATTTTCTCCCCAAGTGCCTGGAATGTTCTAGAAACTCAATGCCTTCTGATGGGGGACAGGGCGAAGGGTCTGCTCTGGCTACTGGCTTTTGCTTTCGCTTTTGTGGTGCGTGCTCGGAAGCTTGGAGGCGTCCTGGCAGTCTGACAGCAGTAAGGGTGTCCTTCTCCGTGTTTAGGTCTCCCTTGGCTTCGTGGTGGAACAGGCACCGCCTCTCACCTGCCACAGGGGGACCCTGGGATGTCTCGGGTGGAGGGGACCACTCTCATTTGACACACGGAACTCAGGGAGGGAAAGAAACTTGCCCAAGGAGGCACCCAGCTCTCCTGCCCCCTCCAGGGTTCTCTGCACGATCCCAGGAGGCCTGGCGGCATCCAGGTCAGAGACTTCTTTGAGGCCCGCGTGTAGCTCAGGCTGTTCTCAGCGTCTCAGTCTTGCCAGCCCCTTTCTAGGGTCTTAGTCCTCCCCAGCCTGGACAGGTGGCTCAGCTTCACCCGGCAATGCTTTTTCCTCCCTTCTCCTGGATTGAGCCCTTGGCACACTGTGTGCCGCCCCCCCCCCTCCCGGGAGGGGGGTCGAAGCTCCAACAAGGAGATAATCTATGGGTCAATTCGCTGTATAGGGGGAAATA